ACGGAACATGTTCTGCGCCGGATACCACACTCAGGTAAGAGAGAGAGAGAGATAGAGAGAGAGAGAGAGAGAGAGAGAGAGAGAGAGAGAGAGAGAGAGAGAGATAGAGAGACAGGAGGATATCTAGCAGTCATGACCAGCAAAGAGAGAGAGAGAGAGAGATTGAGAAGAAGAGAGAGCCAGAGAAAGAAAGAGAAGAGAGACAGGAGGATATCTAGCAGTCATGACCAGCAATTCCTAGCAGCACGTGCATATATAACACGGGATTACTCCTGCAGGTTGAAGGATGACGTACACATTGTCAACCCATCCAAACACAACGCTGTCATCAGACCGCCCGGACACTTGCTCATCCTACTAGGGGTACGCTGTCACCAGGGGCCGTTGTCAGAAACAAAATGAGTCCTATGGTCCATTGGTCTTAGCATGAACTATATTTCTTGTAGACCGTTGACACGTGTTGATAGCAGGGCCGTAGCGGGGGGAGGGGGCAAGGGGGGGCAGCTGCCCCCTAGATTTTGGAGCAAAATTTAAAAAATGTTTTACTAAAAGAGAATTGTCGTAGTCAGAATGAAGTCTGTACATGTACTCAAAGGTGCCTCAAATACCATTTCCTGCGATCTACATTTTCAAAATTTTCTGTGTAAGAACCCCCAGACTCCCCACCTGTTTCTCACCCCCTCCTTGAAATCCTGGATCCGCCACTGCCCCCCTAGGAATTTGCTCAGCCTACGGCCCAGGGCTGTCACCAGAGACCCGCTGTTAGAAACACAATTACTCCTTAATTCCCTCTTCCAGTTAATTTAATCCAAAAACATTGGTCTTAAAATTAGTCTTAACACTACCTTTTAACGTAAACCGTTGACATGAGCAAAATTAATTCTACCATTAGTCTTGACATGAACTTTTTATCGTAGACCGTTGATAGAAATATAATTAGTCATAACATTGGCCTTAACATTAACATTTTAACGTAGACTTTTGACAGAAACAAAATTGGTCTTAAGAATAGTCTTAACATTAACTTTTAATCGCAGATCGTTAAGATACACAAAATTAATCTTAAACTAACGTCGTAATTACAATTTCAATTAACAGGAAACTTATTCACTCGTGTAGCTGGAGATATACATCTTTCCCTTTCTCCCCTTCAGTCAGTGAGCGTGCTCTGTGTTGTTTTGACTTGGAATAAACACCCCCGTTCTCCCCCTTCAGTTAGTGAGCGTGCTCGGTGCTCTGTTAACTTGGAATAAACACCCCCGTTCTCCCCCTTCAGTTAGTGAGCGTGCTCGGTGCTCTGTTAACTTGGAATAAACACCCCCGTTCTCCCCCTTCAGTTAGTGAGCGTGCTCGGTGCTCTGTTAACTTGGAATAAACACCCCCGTTC